CATCGACGAGGAGCTCGCCAAGGAGGAGGTCGCGGCGCTCACCGGCTCCGGCCCTTCTCCGACGCTGTCCCGCGGTGTGGTTGGTGGTCTGGAGTAGGGTGGGTGGGTGGGAGAAGAGAGAGAGGAAATGAGGAGAGAGATGGGATGGGTGGTTGGATGGCATGTGGGCCACTCGACACATGCAGTGGGCAGAAGCGGACAAGGAGTGCAGAGAAAACGTCCGTTTTGTGTGCGCCGCCGACCCAAATGTAACCTAAATTTGAGACAAAAATGGGTCCGCGCGGACACCAGGCAGACGCAAAATGAAAATGGGTCTCTTCGTTGGGCAGTCTTTTTTGTACGTGCCGACCCAAACGGACGCAGACGGACGAAATGGGTTGCCTCATTAAAATTGCTTTTATATGTACAATATCTATGACACATCGGCCTCTTTTGATTCATAGGATAGGATTATCATAGGAATAGGAATCTTATAGGAAATGAGATGACATATATCTCAAATCCTATGAGTAGGAATAGAAAACAAGATGTCATTTGGTTGATATCAAAGGAATTTTTTCATTGAGTCTAGGCTCTTTTTTATTTTCCTATGAAATATGGAGGATAGGAACCAATCCTATGTAGGAATAGAAATCCATTCCTATGAACCAAAGGGTTCTAAAGGAAAAAATCCTATAAAAATCCTATCATCTAGAATTCCTATGAAATTCCTCTAAACCAAAGGAGGCCTAGATGTGTCCTAAACCCTTGTATTTGTAGCCTTGTGATTTTGGTCTTTTGGACCAGGTCCAAGCTACTTCACACAAATCTTAAATTAGGTGAGTTAAAATTTGCAGTGACAAGGAAGGGCTGGCTGCTACTACTTGGGACAGCAGCTCGGCGACCAGGCGGAAGCAGCCGTAGCCGCCGGTAGGTGCCAGGTTCCATGTGCCGCTGGCCGCCGGGGTACGGGTGGGGGTGGGTGCGTCCGTGCGCGTGAACGACCGCACTGCGATTTTTCTTTTTCCTGCAAATCAAACAGCCGTGAGCCGTGCATCGCGAAACCGGCAGGCTCATTGGCTGGCTGGCTCGCAGGAAGCGCGGCCGCGGTTTCGGCCAAGGATTCCAAAACCACTGTCTGCTTTTGCCTTTATTAATCCCGGTTGCTCCAGGTGAAGCAATGGGTCGTCGCCTGCGACCTGCCCATGGGTAGCTGCTAGTGCTGCTCGGGAATGTTGGGAGCCGCCGCCGTTCTTCGATCTGTTGTGCGCTTACCTATGTGGTAGCATATGTGTTTTTTTTTCAAAAAAACTTTTGATCTATTCATTTTCAATCATAACAATGCAATGAACATCATAAATAATAAAAATCACATTCAGATTTGTAGACGCGCCTCCATGTCCCCCACCCCCCCACCGGAGCCGGGCAAAACCTATCGTAGTAGACAGTCGAAAAATCGTCGTGCTATGTCCCCATAGGACTAGCACACCAGAACATAAATCATTGCCGATGAAGAGTAGCATAGATCGAAAGAATCCAACCTGAAGACACACAAGCGTAGACGAACAACGAACAAATCATCCGAGCAAATCCACCGAAGATAGATCTGCCGGAGACACATCTCCACACACCCACCGACGGTGCTAGAGGCACCACCGAAACTGAGCTGGGGCGGAAGAACCTTATTTGCCCAACATGACACGCGTACCACTCCCAATCATGAAGCAACACAATAGTCTGACAAATGCACCCCATACACCACTGCTGCGAATCCCCAACATATGTTCCCAGCATCACAGAAGCGCCCCCGTCGACTGGTTACAAATAGAGAAAATCGCAACTACGACTCACACAACCAAAACAAATGCTAATAATCTTCCATCATGAAATCGGGGATGCTGATTGGGAGCAATGGGTCATAAAAGATGATCTTTGTGGGCATCAACCCAAATGGATCTCCTTAGCAGGGCGTATCTCTAATACATGTTGATGGCATGGGAATATTGCTCTATTGATGAGGGTGTCATAATCTCTGTATTCACTGGATCTCTATTTAACTAACCTTAAATTTTTGAACTTAACTAATAAATTGAGACAACTATCCTTTGCTAACAAAAAAAAAAAACTACCACGTCCTTCCTTCTCGGCTAGCTTGTCAAAAAAAAAATCCATGCAAGCAACAACCATTACACAAGACAATGGAAGGTATGATTTGTGTACACGTCTTGTTTTTCACAAATATACCTTCTCAAAATATGACAATGCCATCCACGCAAAAATAAATAAATTCGATAATACTTAAGACCTGTGTTTTTTGTGTGTTACCAAAGACATTTTACTTCCTGTAAATGACACATGAAAGATATTAAATATTCTCTCATAAAAAGAACTAAAAAACGCATGCCATTGCAAAATCTATGGAAATATCCAATGCAACAATTGAATACTTCAAGAAACGCCATTATGACAAACGATGACATATATGTAATCACCCTATTTTTGCATCAGTATTTTTGTGGGTAAGTCTTTCTTTGCAAATACGACAAATCATGAAGTTGGTAGTGGCATAAACTAAATAGACATGCGAATCAACCTGTGGTTGAGTTGGTTAGGTGGACAGTGGTATTCCCAACCCACCAGAGTTCAAATCCTGGTGCTCGCATTATTCCTGGATTTATTTCAGGATTTCCGCCGATGCGCTTTTAGTGGGAGGAGACGTTCCCATCGACGACGAAGCGCCTACGGTGACTTCGTAAATCTCAAGATGATATGCCGGCTCAGTCTCTCGGAGGTGCTCATAGGGGTAGGGTGTGCGTGTGTGCGTTCATATGGGTGAGTGTATACGCGTGTATATGAACGCTTGTGTCTGTACTGATGCTAAAAAAAACTAAATAGACATTTTCTTCCCTTTCCCTCGGCGGCTAGGACAAACTCGTCCCCTCCAAGCTTCACAGGCGAGCCCGTGGATTGTTCCCCATCTGCCTGCCGCTCCGGCGGCTGGTGTCAGGGAGTGAAATTCCGATGCCTCCACTCCGGCTAGTAGTTTAGGTTAGGTTTTTTTTCGTCCTCGCAGGATGCGGTGTCCGGGTGGATGGCAACGCTTCTTCTTAAAGTTTGTCTTCTGGGTTCCGATTCTGCTTGAGTTTGTCCGCCTAGACGTAGTCGACGGAGCTCCGCCGTAGATTTCACCGTCTCCTTCAGGCGGCGATGTTAGGGTTTCTCGCCGTGCATGTGCAACACCGAGATTTGGTGTCAGGTGCTTCAGATCTATCCAAGAGTTCAACAACGACGGCCACAAACTTTAAGGCGCTGGTCCTTAGGGGCACGTGGATGGAGACTGTCTGACTGTCATCGACAAGGTCAAGCTGGCTCCGGTAGAAGAGCATCGACATCGTCGTGTCGTCAGCTCATTCTAGCGGCGGTAGTGGTCATTCAGTAGACTAGGGATCTAACTGCAATTTTTATTACATTTGAGGTGCTTTTAGCTCTTATAATAGATTCTCAGTTTCCAAAAAAAAATCTAGCGCAGAATTACTTAAATCTAAAATCTGAATGTTGGATGAACGATGTGCCATCAGCAACCACAGGAGAGGACACACACCATTCCCCCGCACGGCATCCGGCCCCGCTCCCGGTTCCGCCACGAAGACGACGAAAACCACGAGCCACGTTGGTGGCGGCGCAGCCTCCACCGCCCATCGCGGACCGCGGTATCGTGCCGGCAGTAGACTCATTTCCCCCGCCCCCACCCACAGAGCCCCAAACCCTTTTCCCCTCTACTTCTACTCCTCCTCCCCCCACCCCACCCCACCCAGCCCACCGTCTCAGAAGCACACGCGCAGACAGATTGGAACCGGAGAGCTCGATCTGATAGCACAAGCTTTCGAATCCCTTTCGGCGGAAGGAATGGCGGAGGAGAAGGGGACGCTGCAGGCGATGAGGGGGTGGGTCGTGGACCACAAGCTGCGGGCCGTAGGTGCGCCGCGGGGAGCTCCCCCTCCCGCCGCCGGGGCTTCTCCTCTTTCTTTTCGTGTCGTTCCTTGCTGTGTGATTGAATTGAATTGAATCTGATCCCCTTTTTTGTTGTGTGGGTTTTGCAGGGACGCTGTGGCTCACGGGGATCGCGGGATCCATCGCCTACAACTGGTCCAGGCCCGGGATGAAGACCAGCGTCAAGCTCATCCACGCCAGGTCCGTTTCCTCTGTCTGGTGGGAGGGGGAACTGCTGTCAATTGTGCATTTCAACCTGCCTTGTTTGTCTCCTGAGTTGAATTTCTATGTTGAAGTTGATTTACTTCCAGCAATGATGCATGAACTGTGTGTTAATTTTGCCTGCCAAGTTGAAATCGGCTTAGCTCCCATCAGCAATGCCCGTGGAGTTGTAGTTGTGGTGGGTACTGGACTAATGGGTACCTGTGGTGTGCCCCTCTACTGTTGGTAAACAAGGATGCGAGTATTCAATTCTGGAGTAGTGTATCACAAATTCACAAGGATGGTATGAATTCGTAGGACAAGATGTGGTTATAGGTTGAACGGAATGCAGAAACAAAGAAACACGAATTTCTTTCCCTGTAATCAGTGGCACCTCAGTCAGGAGTATTATGCACACACTACATTCTAAATAGATCTATTAACTTGATCTTAGAGCTATTTATGCAACAATATCCCAAAACTGATAATGACGTGAATTTGTTAAGGGAGGTAGCTGCTTTTATGTGATCAGAGGCTTAAACAGTGCAGTTTTAGTTTTCCAGTATGTCTTTGGGGTAATAATGTCATGGAAGTCCTTGGTAATACTCATATGAGTGCTTAGTATACTCACATCATGGTCCACACGGTGTCAGTTGTCAACTAGCTGTAACCCATATTAGTGCTTAGTATACCTCATCATTGTGACCGAAAAAGGGTTCTAGCTAGTCAACCTCATCACTGCGTTCAATGTAAAAGGTCAGAAATAGTTTTCTGTCACCAGACCTATAAACTGTAATGAACACATTTCTCGTGATAGCACCCTTCTCCTCAGTTTTAAAAAATTACTGTATATCACTAGGTCGTTATATGTAGGGAAAGATTAGCTTGTTGTACATATCTTTCTAGGTGTCAGTGACGATTCTGCGTATTGACACATAATCTCTACTATCCCTCATAGAAATGCAAGACTGCCTATATGTTAGAAGAGGAACTCACCAAGAATTTACCATACCTCTAGAAGATGATTTTCTTTTAAAGGAGGGATACATTCAGTGATCAATGTTATTACAATCTTATGTTATCTGATAGGCAGGTCGAAGCCAACCCATGTAAAAAACCACAGCCCAACCGCCTCTTGCCTAATTGGTCTGGTGATGAACTTTTATGATTCTTGAATCCGCAAGAGCAGCCATGATCGCACAAATATCCTTGATGATATCATGAACATAAGATCTATCCTCACCAATAGATTGAAAAAGAGACAGAACAACCGGTAGACAATCTGTTTGCCAAGGGCCCAAGATTACCTGATGCTGGGTCCACTAAGCAGCCACATAGATCCCTCTAAACAAAAATCAGTTAGGCATTCTGCTTCAACTGCACCCAGAAACTTCCACTGTGACAGAAAAAGTTATCCCAGTTAGTCTCTTATCATGACACGAAACTTCCTTGGCAGAATGACTATTGAAACTCACATCCAGATTTATCTTAAGCCAGCCAGCTATAATGGGATCCCAATAACACACATCTGAATTAGTATGGTTCTGACTTGATGTAGGCTTGAGCACCTCTGGATTTTTGTTTTGCCCTCTCGTGGATGAGAGTTGCAGGGGGGGTTATTCTGAATACTTATCAGACCTTTTATTAACGCTTTAGGTTCCTGTGATACTTCATTAATCTACCTACTTGTATTGTTCTTGACTGATCTTATAGATGTCCTGCTAAGCCTTTAGGTTCCTACTGTTAATCTTTAAGTTCCAACTGTTAATCTTTTAGGTTCCTGTGATTTCATTCAATTTGTTTGTCTACATCCTTGTTATCACTGGTGGCATTGTTCTTTTTTGACTGATCTTATCAATGTCCTTGTGCATCTCCACGATTAGTTTGCATTGTTTACTTGACCTTTTTGTGTAGTCAAATCTAACATGTTTTGGCTATACACATACTTAATTTAATTTGAATTCTTCTACCTTGGCAGGCTTCACGCTCAGGCCCTCACTCTGGCTGCCTTGGGTTGTTCTGCGCTTGTGGAGTACTATGATCACCAGTCAGGTTCAGGATCAAAGGTTCACGACTATGCAAAGCAGTTCCTTCCATCGGACAGAAACGCCAAAAAGGACTCCGTGTAGAAGAGGCAGCAAGTTATAATATAGGCTTCCATTAGCTGATATGGAATTTGTTGATGTTATTTTCTGAGCAAACAATCTGGCATTTCACATGCCGTTATCCAAGTTCTGCAGGCTTCCTGTTCTCTGTATAAGCTACCGAACCAGCATTTAGATGCAGCCGTATGCAAATCCGTGGGGATGGAAATATGTGCTTTCCTGAACCGTGCATGAATGTAATGAATGAAATGTTTCTCTCTTACAGTACTACTGATGAAGTAAACCGACAAGGTGAGTTCGTGCGCAGAAGCTTCTGCTCAAGGCAAAAGAAAAACCTTATGGAGTGTTTCATTTCTAAACGTGACAGTAAGCATGATGCGTGTTGTGTTGGCTTTTCTCTTTTACTGCAAACGACGTTTGAGGGCGTTTTGATGGACAGATATAGTCAGCAGCCGGTCATATTCTGAAGTCTATTTAATTTCTTTCCCCTGAGCTTGTGTGGTATCCACTGCCCAGTGCCGGATAGGGTACCTCTTGGAGACGCGGACGTCTGGTTTCTCGGTGTATCTATACCCTATATGAAAAATAGCAAATAAGTAAAAGGTCAAAAAATCTGAAACATTTTTTAATAAATTTTGACCTTCCATTGTATTCCCTCCGTCCGGAAATACTTGTCATAGAAATGGATGTATCTAGACGTATTTTAGTTATAGATACATCTATTTCCATCCATTTCCGTGACAAGTAATTCCGGACGGAGGGAGTACTTGTGAAAAACATTCCACAAAAGGAAAACCCCCCCTTTGACCTCTAAAAACAAAATTTCGGCCAAAAATAGTGTGAATAGTCATCCATAATAGCAAATAATTTTTTTTGTCCAGAAGTCAAACCCTGGTTTTTTATTTGTGGAAATTCATATACTAGTGCAAAAGAAAGTCAAGTTAATTCTATACAAACTTCTGAAGTATTTTGATTATTTTGTATTTTTTTTCCTCATATAGGGTGTAGATACTAAGATACAACCAGAAACCAAAGTTATTTCCCACCTGTTGGGCACTTATTTCAGATCTAGCCTTCACCAACTTCTCCCACTTCTCTCAAACCATAGTCGTTTGATTCTTGAAGAGATTCTTGGTGAGATTCAAGAGGGAAACATTTCAAAGCAAGATCCACTCATTCCCTACACTTTAACTAATTTTTTTTACCCGCAAAAGAAAACTAATCAATTTTTTTATCCATGACATTCTTTTGTTACTCTTAGAGGTTGGAGACCTTTAGGCGGTAAGAGTCTTCGATGAGAAATCGATTTGTGATTACCACATTGTTTGTAAAGGTTTGGAGACCGCTTCAGAGTCTACCAGATTGTTGAGGAAACCATTAACTTGTAGGCGCTCGGTTGGTTGGCGAGTAGGGATTAATATGCTAAATGGCAAGTTAATCAGCTATTTAATCAATTAATCGACCGATTTATCAGTTTATCGGCTACTCAGTGACCCTATGAATAGAGATTAATCGGCAAGTTAACTGGTTAATCGGATAAATTCTTGAACAGGGGACTACCATGAGTAGTTGAGAATTGCCTTAATGGTAATATCTCAAGGAGGAGAAGGTGATCCATTGTGGTGTTGGATTCCCTTCATGGAATTTCTATCCTTCTAATGCTAATTAGCTCTCATTCAAGGGAGTAAACATCGAGATACATCTTTGTGTCCGTGTGTCCAAATCGATTGATGGAGTTGAAATTGTTGTATCTAACCTGTGTATTAATTTGGACAAGAGATAAGTTCTTTATTGTTTCAAAAAGGAGGACACTCTCGACCTCTACATTGATCGATGGAGTTGGAACTTACGGAGCCAACCGAGCATATCTCACCTATCTTGCTCGTCTTCAAAATTGAAATTGTCTTGTTGCTGGTGTGTGTGGCCAGTTGTTTGGCATACGCCAAAGTGTGCTTTGTGTGGCTTAAGTGATGCCGGCTCCATTTGTGGTATGATATGGCGAGTCGAAGTTACTTGCTCGATGAGAAGTAGTGACGATGATGTTCACAGGCAACCAGCTTGTGAAGTGTGTTTTGGTAGTCAGGTCGGTCAAGGGTGCCTAGTGTGCTTGGGTGTGTTATTATAACGGTTTTTGCCAAGTTTCTGTTAATTAACTGGTGATTCTCTCCTTAATTAAAAGGTGAGGTATTTATGCTCCCATTTCAGATGTTCAATTTTATTTTTCCGTGTCTATTAATTAGTAGATACCTTTGTTTTGTGCGTCATACATTTCGCTCGAGACCGAAGGCGGGGACGGCGTGAGGAGCGCCGACCATGGCGAGATAGAGCTGTGTACGAGCGGGAGTGGGCGATAGCCAGCTGGAGCGAGTAAGAAACTTAACAGGGGGTCGAGGGTGGGGGTGGAGGGTGTCGCGGAGTTGTTAATCAGGGCGAGACTTAGAAGGATGGTCGGGGTAGTGGCCAGCACAACGGTGGTAGGAGGTCAAAGGGGAGGGCAGGGCGGCAAGGTGGCAGCAGCCGCCAGTCGCCGGGGGCAGAGGTAGGCGGTTAGGGCTGGGTCAGCCATCGGCTACGTGACGAAGAAGAGGGAGGTGAAGATAAACAATGCACAATCTGTTTTCGGATGAAGATCTAACGGTCCTGAACAAAAGCGGCTGATGCAAACAAAATATTATGGTGCATGATGTATAGGCGCTCCTTTATTTTTCAGAAGTTGAATACAGTCATCTCATCACACACAAAGGCCATTGTGTTTGGTCAAGACGTAGCTAAGGTTTGATCGAGCACGACATCATTCCTTTGATTGATGTGTAATAGCCTGGTTCGTGTTTGTGCTTGTGCTCGTCGTCTTGTGACGCTAGCTGCCATTGCTTCCCTCAGTCAAGAGCCTAGAAATGGAATTTTATAATATAATAAAGCTTTGATGTGACATGTGACGCTGCTGCCAGTTGAGACCTATCGCTCTATCACCCAACCATGGCTCCTGTAATCGTGTTCGTGCTCATGCTCGTGTTCGTGTTCGTGCTCATTTGGACCGGGGTAGAAATTTCCTGTCTGAATCTGAATAAAGAAGAAAGGGATGGCCTGGAGCTTCGCAGCTGACTCTTAACATGGATTCGTGTTTTTCGATTTCGTGCTCGTGTTCCCGGCCCCGTCTCCCCGTCCACCCCCTCGTCTATAAAGAGCCACCCCCCGTCCGCCATTTTCGCCACGCTCTGAAGCTCCAAATTAACAGTTCTCCCCTCTACACGCTGCCAGCAGACAACTCACAAAGTCGCAGATCGTAGCTAGGCCGCCATGGATGTGGAGAGCAATGCGAGGGCCATAGCGGAGGCCGGCCGCGACTGCACCAAGCTTCCGCTGGCGCTGATCCCTGGAGGCGTTTGCCAGGCCGCGGCGGCGCTGCGGTTGTTCATCTTCAAGAAGCCCGACGGTATGTTCCTGCACCATGGTAAGGTGGCCTTCTACCTGTACTACGCCTTGCTGACGGCCGTGGCGCTCTTCGGCTTCGTCGAGGCGTCGCTGGGCTTTTGGGTGGCACGCGACCTGCACGACCATCGCCGGCAGGCTTACGGGAGGGTGGCCATGGTGGTTTCCGTCCTCTTCCTCGTCCTCGTTGGTGGCCTCGGTGGTTTTGCCATGCCAAAGTACTAGCAGCCATGAGCCTAGCTATGATCACGGTGCTTTCCCTGTATTTGGAAATATTAGAAGAAGCTCATGCAGTAAGTTTGTCCATCGATCCGCATACGAATACTGTTGATCTAGCGGATTATGTCATGTTATCTTTTTTTGTTGTTGCAAGGATGTAATGTTATCTTCTTTTTGTTTTTCTGCGGGGATGTAATGCAATCTTTGTTTACATTATTATATGCTCTGTAATTTTATTATGAGAGTTTTTACCAAGGTTTGTACTTTTATACTGTCCTGATACAAACTGTAATCACTGTAAATTCCATGGCCTGTAATAAGTCGGCTGAATTTTGTTGTACTTTGATCCACTTCTTTTCGAATTTTTGATCCACTCTGTTTGAAATGGAAAAGGGGGGAGGCCAGTTGAATAAAACGGAAGGATTGTGGCAGTTGTATGGTGGATGGATATTTGCAATAGAAAAAAAAATAGAGAATGCTGAATGCATACGCGTGAACTGAATTTTGAGTGTCACGGTCGTTCCTCTTCAGAGCAAGCAGTTCGCGACACAAGTCTGCGTTCCCTGAAAAAAAAATGTTCCGCCAGTAGCCTAGCGGCCCAGCCCACATACACACTTTGCGGCCCAGCCCACATACACACTTTGCGGCCCACCACCACCTATAGCTTGCTTAAGAGAGATCCCCCGGCCTTGTTCCCTGAAAACTGCTCTCCCATTCGGCACTCCACACCTCCCACCGTTGACCATCGCCCGAGAAGAGGCGGCTCTGATGGAGGAAGAAGCTCTGAGGGAGGCCATGGAAGACGCCTTTCTGGAGGGCGCGGCCCAATGGCGAGCGGACAACATCCTCCAGACCCTGCAGATGGACAAGCTGGACGCGTGGATCCGCCAAGAGGGGCTTGGCGGTGACATCGAGGCGCTCAAATCTGAGATCGATGAAGTCATGGCGACGGTCTCTTATGTCAAGGGGAGGGCGGTAGGCAACAGGAGGCTGGCTAGGTCTCTCGCCGCGATCAAGCAGAAGCTCTTCGACGCCGATGACGCGGTCGACGAGCTCGACTACTACAGACTTCAACAGCAGGTCGAACTCGAAGGAGGTAATTTGATTCACAGAAATGGTTTCTATTTCAAATTCCAGTAAAATTAGAATTTGATTCATTCCAGTAATGCCATGAAAAAGATCCAAGTAAACTCTCTAGCTATGCCGCATTTGTTCTGCAATTTCGAATTTTTACATTCCGACAATCTGGGCCCGCTTGTAAGCCTGTGGTGCCACGTGAATTCGCTACGACCACATCACGTCATCACCTCTATCGCGACGAGTCTTTCTCCTGCGTGCCTAGGAAGGAGGGCACCGCTGCCGCCCCTCGTCGAGAATGGCGCATGGCATCCCCTCCTCCTTTGTCCCTTGTCACGGCCTCGGTAGCCATTAGGTGGAACCATAGTTGTCATGTTTCCGGTACAGTGGGAACGAGGAACGGGAACGGGGGACGAGAGTCGGGGGCTGGAAAAAATGGGGTACAGTGGGGGTATACATCTCTAGAACGATTTTTCTAAAACGAAAACGTGATCCAATCAATTCCGGTACGATGAATCCGGTACGGTACCATGGAACGAGGAACGTGAATCTTTACGGGTGCGGGGAGCAACTGGCTGGGAGGGACCGAGGGAGTACTTATACAGGGAACTGGCTACATCGTCGATTCATGAAGACTAAAATATATCATCTCCTTCCCAATGGAAAATTTATTAGGAGCCTTAGAGTAATTGGAGAGCAGAACAAGGAATTATTTAGGGGAGTGGAAAAGAACGGGGCAGAAATTAAAATGAGGAGTTCATGATTGATATGGCTGACCTTTTGGTTACTCGATCGATTCAAGAACCAAGACTGTTGAGTCGCCGAACCTGAATCGACGATCTGGCTGCGGAAACACCGAATCCGCATCGAATCTTACCGAATCGACCCTCGTTCCCGAATCTGATTCCGGGTCGATGAATCCGGATCGAGGGACGGCCCATCGTTCCCCGTTTCCGGCTACTATGGGTGGAACCACGGCGAAAGTACCCTGCTTGCGAGCTCATATACACCTTCAATTAACAGTAAGTTCGAAAGTAGTGGCGGAGCCAGGATTGATGCAAACCCCGGGCCTAATTTTTTTTCCAGCAACATGGAAACTTTCCATAGCATATAAAAACTACAAAAGTTCTTCACCGCCGTAAAAGATACCGCATATGAAAAGCTCACAGACCCAATTGCACTAGAATATCAACTCAATGTATAACAATCCAACAAAATAGACACTCCTGTTATGACTTATGGGACCGATAAAAAACAGTTTCTTCATCGTCTATTTTTTCTAAAACATGAAATCGAATTGATATAAAAATGCATCATTTTAAGATCAATCAATACATATACACAGTATATTTCAATGCAATTTATGTTCGATATAGGCACGCAAAACCTACCAATGTTGGAGAATGGAGTGCCCGGCGGCTGCAGCAGCAACACAGGGGCCAGGGGGCGGGGCTTAGACCGGGGAGGCTAGCAGTAGGGGTGGAATCATGTGCGCATTGTGGATGCAGGGACAGGCGCCCCGGCAGCATCGCAACAGTACGACATTTTGGGCCAGGACTATAGAAGAGGGCATGCAGCGCCAAGGAGGGGGCAGGGGTAGTCGAGATCGTGAGGAAGACGGCGGACAGCAGCGCCGAGCAGGGCAAGCGGCGGTGCGTGCGCGTGATCTGTCTCTAGGTCGGCAATTTGGGCGATTGGAAGGGATAGAGCTTTCGTACAAGGCTTCAGGCTTTGTGTGTGCCCAGGCTGTGCTGGGCTGCGCCCCAGGCCCAGTACGAAATATGCATAGGTATAGGGCTAAACCATTCCTCACGCCCTGGGCCTGGGCCCTGGGTGCCCGGGGCCTGGCTCCGCCCCTGTTCGAAAGTAATTAGTAAAAAAATCAAAAAAATCTGAATTTTTTGGGGTACAAACATTGACTAATTATCAACATGCGTGCAAATTTTCATGAAGAAACAACATTCCAAAAATGCTTCCTTAAAAGTACAAAATCAATGCTCCAAAATACTTTAAAAAACAGACTTTTTGGAGCATCAATTTTGTTTTTTCACGGACGCATTCTGGAATGTTGTTTCTTCATGAAAATTTGCACCCATGTTTTGAATTCTTCAATGTTTGTTCCTAACAAATTTCAGATTCTTTTAATCTATTTTATTATTCTTTTTTACTGTTCATGAGGGACCATGTGAGCTCGTGAGCAGAAACTCCATGCCGCCACTTCATTTTGCCATGTGCTACTTGCGTCTTGAGCCACTGTCAGAGTTTATTCTTTTGATGTTCATCTTGAAAACTGGTACATACGAAATTATATTGAGACATGGCAAAAAAAGTATTATTATTATGTACAATCACAATTTTTTTGAAGGAAATTGGGAGGGGAAACCCGGCCCCTACCTACAGTTTTTTATTTTTAAAAACATAAGCAAAACGCTTATGCATGCAATTTATTTCGG